AGAGCCGTCGGGCATGGAGCCGTGGAAGCAGTGTGCGCAGTGGCTCATCCATTGCAAGGTGCTGCCCGCCAACCACCGAGTGACCTGGGACTCGGCGCAGGTATTCGACCTGGCGCAGACCCTCCGTGATGGAGTCCTGCTCTGCCAGCTGCTTAACAACCTCCGGGCGCACTCCATCAACCTGAAGGAGATCAACCTGAGGCCGCAGATGTCCCAGGTGAGGAGGCCGGCGCGGGCGCCCCGCCTCCAGCCGGCAGCTCCCATTAATCATGCGGCTAATTTCTTTGTGTAAATGCAAACGTCTAGGTGCGCTGAGCTTGCTCTGCCTCCCAGCCTTCTGCTTTGGGACCACTTCGGCACCACTTTGGCTTTTCCTACCTTGGCTTGAAATGGTTTAGCGCCTCAAGCTGAATGCGAAAGCCTTGCGTCCGGAGATGGTGTGAGGATTTCGTAAAGGCTTTCAGTGAGGCGGGAAAGAAATAAGTTGTCTTAGGGTGCCCTTCACCTACTCTGCGTGTGTGTGGCGCGACAAAGATTTGATCAGGCTCTTCCATAATAACGAAGGGGAGTTGATGGGGTAATTTGCTTTTAGTCCTTTCTTTTGCTTTGCGTCTTGTACTCATGTTTTCTTGAAAGAGGAACCATGACATAAATGAGGACTCGAGGAAGTGAAGGGCGTTTGGTCCCGTTATCTGTCCAGGAGTGACGCTGGTCAAAGGGAAGAACAGGGAGCAGAACCCAGAGGCCGCCCCCAGGACCCCTGAGCTGGTGGCCAGCCGGGAAGCCCCGGTTTACAGCTCTTCCTAGACCATGTGAGAAGGAGCGAGTCCAGCCTCTCTCAGCAGCGACAGGAAATGAGAAGTTTCACTAGAGATTCCGCTTTCCTTCCTGCAGTGCCCTGCTCAGGTGCTGTGGTGCCGGTCGGCTCCTGGGACTGGCGCTGCCTCTTTGAGGGGTAAGCCAGGCACCTCTGGAAAGTTGGGTGCACCCTAGAGTCAGCTCAAAAGTCACAGTTCAGTGGAAAAGTAGTTTATTTTTCCTGTCGGAAAATTTTTGTACAGAAGGATGTTAAACTTGGTTCACAGCCTCTTTCTCTTTCAGAATGTTAAAACAAAAAAACCAAACCGCTTTCAACTTAAAAGGGAGAGGACAGAGCCCTCTCCATGACACATTTCAGCACTAATCCTCTATGACGCAGAGCCTCAGCTACTTAGCAACCAGAGCAGTGCCTTTTAAGAAGGAACGGACTTTATATGATTTAATAAGTATGTATTTAAAGTTAGAGCACACACAGTCATCTCTGATTCTTGGTGTCAGTGTTTCATCAGGGTCTCTGCACTTCAGATTCTGCATTCCTTGTCTGTTTGCCTTCAACCTGCTGCTGGGCAGTCCCTAAGAAAGAACAAGCATGGAAGCAGGGAGAGCCATATGTATTTAAAAGTGAGATAAATTATTTTATACCCCCGTAAACCTCCATGGTGATTGCTACCTCTCGGTACCCCTTCAGAGTTGTCTCAACTCTGGATATTCCTTTGAGGGGTTTAGCAGACTTTTCTATTATGGTGGGAGCTGCAATCAGTTAGCTACTCTTACACATTCCCATTTTCCACTTGGCCTGTAGCCTCAGGAGGCAGCGTGGGTCAGGATGCCTTGGCCCACCAAGCAGGGAATACAGTACTGTGCACATTTCCTGGAACTTGTTTCCCGGAACTCTCAGCAGTTGCTCTCAATAATCACGTTTTCTGGACAGCTGAAGAGCCCTTTTTAAACCTTGAAGCCTTCATTTTAATGCTAACAATGGATGAGAATTGTTTTGAATGTGTTTCGCTCTTCTCCTCTTATAGTATGTTAGATGCAATTTAATCTTTCTAATGACCAAAGGTTGTCATTACAAGCATCATTAATGAAAATCGAGCACATACAATGCTCTAAGGGTTCTGTTCCCTACTGGGGGTAGGTAGCACAATGAGCAAACCAGGATACTTGCCCTAAAGGAATTATTACACTATACCATCAGATGATAAATCACTGGGTTATAATAAGGTAAGTAGGACAGCTGATGACCTTCTTTGTGCCGTTGCACTTTTGATTTCTTAAGTTTGTTCAACCCTGAGGTTTCTGGTTCCAAATTAAGTACAGTTTCTCCTGTAATGTCCTATGAGAGGGTACTTCCCTCAAATGTGAATCCTAGAAGGCTAGTACCTGAACCTGGTGATGTCTGTTTTTGCTTTCCTCTTGGTTCTTGGCCTCATTGCAGAGAGGCAAGGCTGCTGAACAAGTGGATGCTAGGCAGATGAGTTTGTATCATGCAGGTTCTCCTTAAATCCTTAAATGAGATTTATGAAATGATTTTATGAAACAACTTGACATATTTAACATGCTTATAGTGCCTAGCACATGTACTTAATATGTACTTAATAAATATTTACTATTAGCAAAATTATGTAAAACATTTTTTCTGCTATTGTTATACTAAGAGTGATAGATTTCAATAGAAATTTTAAAAGAATTGTAGAGGCCTACCGGTTCCTTTGGGCTGATATCCCTAAACATTTTGCCTCTATACTACTCATAGCTTTCTTGGGACAGGTTCTAGCTGTAGTGAATAAGCTATTAACCTGGTACAACCCTGTCATGTCCCAGGAGAATGTATTCCCCTGGCATTAGAGATGTCATTACTAGTAGTTGTGGCTTTTTGGTGTGTCTGAGAGTCATTCTGTCTACTTGACTTAGGTTCTGTTGAAAATATTAATTTGAAATAGACTATTTTTTATAGCACATCATCTCCTAAGCTGAGAAATAACTGGAAGCTGTCACTTCAGACTTTTGTGACATATTGAGACTGTAAAGAGCAGATGTTGACAAAGGAAATTTTAATTTATTGATGTTTTGTTTGTAGGCTGTTTAGCTTTCCTGAAAGAGGCTATAATATGACCAGGCTTTTAAAATGAGTGTTTATTCCAGTGAATGGGATGCCTTTCTATTATTTGTTAGCCTTCTGCCTTGTTTGCATTTAAAAAAATAAATAACTGCAAATAATGACTACTCAATTATAGGTCTGATTCTTGGAATTCTTAACAAGTTAGTTGATTATCTTTCAAAATAAAAGCATGGATGGGATCCCAGTTTTCTTATTTATTGTTCTTTCTGGCTGTGGACATCAGTTTGTTTTTGATCTTGCCATCCTGGTAAGAGGATGATCTTCAGTTCAAAAATAAGAATTTGTTTTCATGCTGATTTAGCTTTTGTTTTTATTTATGATGGATTAAAAAGGTAAACATTAATCACGTTTAGTTATACATTTAACATGTTCTTCTTATTATAGAATACAGTTAAGTAAAATGCAGTTGGCCAGTAAATATCTAAGACATTTGGTGTCTGAATACGTTAGATTTTAATGTCTATATTTGAGATTTATTTTTCATCCCAAACAGTATTCTAGCCAGGACACAAAGCACGTGAATGATTCCGGAAGAGAAGAGCCTACTGGTGATAGCTGTACTGGGTGGGCGGCACATGCTGGGGTTGGGGCAGGGTCGGGGGTATGCCTGTGGAAGAGCATGAGTTATTGGCTTGATGTCACTTTAGTGTTTAAGAAGATCTTCATGAATGCCTATAACCACCCCTAGATCTATCATGAATGAGAGTACCTTAGTCTTAGTTTGAAACTTAAAATTTTGCTTTATACTATGCTTTATGGTAGGGGTAATACATTCAGTGAGTTTACTGGCCACTGTGGACAGTATATGTAAACTTTGAATTGTCTAAATGAATAATTCAGACTTCAAGGATTCCTTCAATGAATATTTACTTGTTCCTACTATGTTCCAGGGACTGTTTTAGACACTGTCTTGGACAAACTCAACAAAGTCCCTGCCCTAAAGGGATTTGGATTTTAGTAGAGTTGAACCATAAATAAATGACTATATAATGTATTTATATATTTATATTTTTATATATAATTATATATATATTTGTGTATAATGTGCTATGAACCCATTTGAAGCTGAGTTAGCTAGAAAGAAATATAATACAATTTTATAGAAGGTAGTCAAGAAAGTCCTCTCTGAGGGAGTGACAATTAGGTGGGACCTGAAGTGAGTGAGGGAACACGGGAATGTCAATGTTTGGAAAAAAGAATATTCCTGGCGGAGGGAATACCAAATGCAAAGCTCCCGAGGTGATTAAATGGCAGGCATACTGGAGGAACAGCAGGGTCAGTATGGCTGGAGGAGAGTGAGTGTGGGAAAGAGTGGGAAACATGAAGTCAGAGAGAAAATGGAAGCTCGATTTTTAGGACTTGTCGGCCACTTTAAGGACTTTGGATTTCACTTTGAGTGAAATGGGAGGTCAACAGAGGGTTGAGCAGAGGAGTGACATGGCCTGATTTACCTTTTCTTTTCTTTTCTTTTTTTTTTTTTTTTTGAGATGGAGTCTTACCGTGTAGCCCAGGTTGGAGTGCAGTGGCCCGATCTCAGCTCACTGCAGCCTCTGCCTCCCAGGCTCAAGTGTTTCTCATTCCTGAGCCTCCCGAGTAGCTGGGACTACAGGCACGTGCCACTACTCCTGGCTACTTTTTTGTATTTTAGTAGAGAGGGGGTTTCACTGTGTTGCCCGGAGTGGTCTCCAACTTCTGAGCTCAGTCAGTCCACCTGCCTTGGCCTCCCAAAGTGTTAGGATTACAGGTGTGAGCTGCTGCACCCAGCCCTGATTTACCTTTCCTACAGTTACTTTGGCTACCACATTGAGAGCAGACTGGAGAGCAGCAAGGATAGAAGTGACCAGGCTCATACATCATTCAGACAAGAGATAATGGCAACTCTTACCAGAGCAATAGCAGGGCAGATGGTGGGAAGAGTAGGCTCTGAATATATTCCGAAGGTGGAGCCAGCAGGGATTTATTGATGGACTAGATTAGGGATGTGAGAAGAGAGGAGTCAAGTTTGTCTCCAGAATTTTTGACCTGAGAAACTGGATGATGAAGTTCCCATTCACTGAGATGGAGAAGACTAGAAGAAGTATGGTGTTGGGGTGTACGTGGGGAGATGGGAAGGAATATCTGGAGCTAGTTATGATTGAAATGCCTAGTAGACATCTAGATGGATATGCCTAGCAAGGAGTTGGAGATGTAGGTGTAAAGTTTGGAGTCATCAAGGTGAAGATGATATTTAAAATCATGAGACTGGGTGATACCATGCAGGAAGTAGTGAAGAAAGA